GGGGAAGTGGCCCAGGCCTTCGGGGACCCACGGCGTGACAACCAAAGATACGACGTCGGTGTTCTCGGGAAGGGGGCGCGGCGAGGGGAGGGCAAGCTGGGTGCGCCTGCGCCACATCCGACGTCCCAACCCCTCCCTCCTGTCCTTTTTTGTTCGCGCGGGCACCCTCTCTGTTCGCAGAGTCGGGTGTCGAGAAAGGCCCTCGTTCCGAAGGGGCAAACGCATCAAATAAGGACATCACCTACGAAGCCAAGAGCTGGGAGGGTATGAAGGGTGGATGGGAGGAGGGCAGGTGAAGGGGGTTCTTCTTGGGCGATTGTTATCTCAAGCACGGGCGAAGCATCCCAGGCTTATACTGAGTCTCAGCCATGCCAGCGGACTAACAATACTCGATACGATAGGAATGCTCAAGCCAGACTCATGGATTCGCCGATGCAACAGTACAGGCGCCACTGCCACAGTTGCTGCGACAAGGTCGTCCCGTTTGGCGGCGGACGCCTGGCTATTCCGAAAGACTGCGAAGACACCAGCGACAACACCGCCTGTAAAGAACGAACATATTTTGCTTAGAAGGAGCCATATGACGATTAGAAACACCATATGCGAGACAATCTCCTTACACAAGCACGGGGGAAACGGAGGGCACATAGTTCTAAGACTGTGGAGCTGTCGAGGGCGAGCAAGTGGGAGGCGAGGAGGCAGCGATGGGGAGGGGGTGGAGGAGCAGGGCTACGGGCGGTGCGGAAAGGGAGGGACGACGTCTAGGAATGTGGCCCGCGCAGGGGCGAGGGTGCCACTCTGAACGAGGGGAGCAAAGCTCCGACCCCGAAAAGACGCCAGCGCTGCAGCGAGAGCACCACATAGCAAAAAAACGGCAAAACAACAATCAGATCCAACACACATATGAGCAGCGGGAAGACACGGGTCTCGCGCAGGATGGCGTAGCGACCCCTGCGCAGTGGCCCGCGCGGGCGGCCAGCGCGGCACGCTACTTTAGAAGCGAGGGCGCCTACGCGCGACCTTACGCGAGCAGCTCACGCGCCAGCGTCGGTGAAGACGACCCCGCTTCTTGCTGCGTCGCTCTGTGGAGCACCACCCAAGCCGGCCTGTGGGTTGGCTCGAGCACCGCATCCAGCCCAGCGATTTGGGGTTCGCGTGCACGGCCTCCAGCCCCACTTGGGGCCCTCTTGGGGCACCCTTGGGAGCCTTGGGAGCGCTCTTGGGGCCATCTCGGAGGAGATCGATCAAAGAAGGGGGTTACGGATTAGAGCCCCCCCCTCAGAAGGCCAAAATGGGGCCAAAACCATGGGAAAATCAATGATTTTGGCTTCCTCGCGGGCGAAGCAGCTACGAGGCAATCTGTGCTGCGTCGCTCGCACGGGCAGCAGCCGAGGTGATGACATCGCATCACGTGGAAGATGTGTGCTCAGGAGGTGCGGCGGCCCGCTCGCACAGTAGCCCGTGGGCGAGAGGAGGGGAGGAGGAGGAGGAGGAGGAGGAGGAGGAGGAGGAGGAGGAGGAGGAGGAGGAGGAGGAGGAGAAGGACTGCTTCACGAGTGCCCGAAGGAGCGCGAGCGCGAGCGCGAGGGGGAGGCGAGGCGGAGGAGAATGGGGAGGAAGGCAAGGGGGAGGGCGAGGAGGGAGGAGGGGTCCAAGGAAGGAGGAGGGAAGCATAAACGAGCCAACGAACAAGCCTCGGCTCTCTGGTCGACTCAGCACGAGGCCAAGGAAGGAGGAGGATGAGGATGAGGAGGACAACCTCACGAAACGCCCGAACACCCTCGTGACAAAGACATCGAGGACGACGCCGTCGTCGTCAGGCTCGTCGGCTCAGGGAAGGAAACATCGAGCTGGAATCGGCGATACAGCGCCGAAACATCGGCGGCCGGCTCCCCGATAGCGAATCTGGACGCTCCCAGGCGGGGTGGCGGGCTGCCGGGATCCTGGGCGAAGGTCGACGCATCCCCCCCTGAGCCCCTCCCCCCCCCGCCCCTTGACGTCGCCCCCTTGTTTTCCCTTAGGGCTTGTCGACTTTTCGCCAATCGACTTGTGAGAATCGAGCCAGATAAACCCAGGTAAATGCAGATAAATCGAGGTAAATCCAGGTAAATCTAGATACATCTGGGTAAATCCAGGTAAATCCAGAGATCTCCAGGGAAAGTTCGAGCACTTCGCGGCCGCTCCAGCGCGAGTCGAAGGACGGCAGAAGTCGTTAAGCCTTTAACGATGTTTTGGGGTCATAACTCGGCTCTCTGGCAGCCGTTCGGGACGATCCGGGCCCCCCCAGAACGCTGCCAGCGCGGCGCAGCTCATCACGGGAGAGCGTCCCAGGCCTGCAGACCGCCGAGCACCAAGGAGCACGCCCGCAAACCTCGAGCCTCGAGCGGGCTATCGGGACCCTGTCGGCGATGAGTGGACGTTTTGGGGGACGACGCACCGCCCCCCCCGAGGCTATCCCCTCCTAAGCGCTACCCCTCATCATCCCGCTGCTCCACGGCCCTCTCCGGGAGTGCATTCTGACCAGGGTTTCGAAGCGAATCCAGCCGTGTCGACGAGGGTCAGCACCTCTTTCCCCTCTGATCAGAGACGACGCCGTCGTCGCTGGTCTCGTCGGAATCGTCGGCCTCCTCGCCGCCGCTGCCGCGTCGCAGAGCAGCGACGCGAACCCGCCTCGCACTGACCAGCGCCCAGCCGCCGGGCTCGCCGAGGTTTCCCGCGGCGGCCAACGAAGCCTCGACACCCTCAGCCGCGGCCGTCGCGTTGAGGGAGAACCACGGCGCGGGGCCTGGCAGGCGGCGGTGGAAGAGGGTTCCATCGTTTGTGTGTTCGATTCCTCGTCCCTCCCCCCCCCTCTTCCTCCATCCGTAGCTTTCCCTTGTCTTCCTCCTCCTCCTCCTCCTCCTCCTCCTCCTCTTCCTCCTCCATTGTTTTCTTTCCCCCTCTTCTTCGTCCTCCTCCTCCTCCTCCTCCTCCTCCTCCCTCCTCCTCCTCCCCCTCCTCCTCTCCTCCTCCCCTCCTCCTCCTGCTCCTGCCTCCTCCTCCTCCACGCCTGCTTCTCCTCCTCCTCCTCGCCTCCTCTCCTCCTCCTCCTGCGCCTCCTCAATCCCCACTCCTCGCCCTCCTCCTCCTCCTCCTCCTTCCTCCTCCTCCTCCTCTCCCTCCTCCCTCCTCCCTCCTCCTCCTCCTCCATCCTGCTCCTCCTCCTCCTCCTCCTATCCTCCTCCTCCACCTCTCCTCCTCCTCCTCCTCCTCCTCCTCCTCCTCCTCCTCCTCCTCCTCCTCCTCCCTCCTCCTCTCCCTCCTCCTCCTCCTCCTGTCGTTCGGCCTTGGCGATTTGCTGGCTCCACTCCGGCCTCTCGGGTGGCGCCCTCGGGACCCTGTGGCCATCACACAGACGGATCCGGAGAACAGCTTCCTGGGGAAGCAGTTGCTGGCCATCGCTCGGACGTCCATTCCCTGTTTTTTCTTGGTTTCGTGCGTGGTTTTGTCGCCAAAAAATCAAGGATGCTCCTCGATGGTCCTCGCCGACAGAAGAAAAAATCACACGTCCGAGCGATGCCAGGGTTGGGACCTCACGAACTACGGACTGGAAGAAAAATCGCTCTGGCGGACGTGTGGCTTTCTCTGCCCCCGTTGGCCTCCGGTGTCCCGATGCGAGCCCCAGGGCCGCTGCAGGTCGATCCGGAAGGGGCCACTGACCGATATGGGCCCTGGGAACAGGAGGCTGGGCTCATGCACAAAGCCGGGTCCTGACTGGTGATACCCCTGCTCTATTAAAACCAGCCAGAACCGCACGCACGCGCTTCGCGCGACCCTTCGTCTTCTTTCAATCCCCCTGTCCACACCCCTTCCCTCCCTTCTTATGCATCAAGGAGGAGGAGGAGGGGGAGGAGGAGGAGGAGGGGGAGGAGGAGGAGGAGGGAGGAGGAGGAGGAGGGGGAGGAGGAGGAGGGGGGAGGAGGAGAGGAGGGGGAGGGGGGCCCCCGTTCTTCTCCCTGAAACGTATGATCCGCTTTTTCGCCGTCTTGGGCGTCGCCCTGAGGTCCCTCTCAGACTGTTTTGGCTCTTTGGGCCCCTCTGGTGCAAAATTGGTGCCCTCGGTGTTTGGCGCATGGGGGGCATCCCTTCGAGGGCGCCCTGGCCTAATCGGGGCTCTCGTGGGTCGCATTGGAATGTAAGTGCCGGCGTTATGGTTACGATTGGTCCCAGGCAACGGGTGGCGTGGGATAGGGAGCATAGGAAACACTAAGTTCACGAACATTGACGTATCATTAAGTTGCTTGCTGAAACGAAGGCAGCTCCCACAACTAACCACTGTGCCACCTCCCATCACTGGCCATGCAACACGAACCCACATCAGCGCATCGTACCGAAATCTGGCCCCGCGCGCCAACGCATCAATTTGAAACGCCTGGTTGGTTCTGCACGCTGCAGCGCCATCGCCAAGCCAAACAGCGCGGGCATATACAACGCCAGGCCAGGAATGCCGCGAACGCAGCACATCTCCAGCTCGCAGCGTCTTCCCCCCTCACGTATGCACCATGCATGCTCCCCCCCCGCCCCTGTCACCGTTCTCCACCTCGTCATCCCCCTTCCTCCTCCCGACCCCCCCCCCTATCCCCCCCTCCTCTTCCCCCCTCCTCGCCTTCCCCCCCCCCCCCCCCTCCTTCTCCCCCCCTCCTCTCCCCCCCTCCTCTACCCCCCCCCCCGATCACCCCCATCCCCCTTGTTTCTCAACCTCCTCTTCCCCCCTCCTCGCCTTCCCGTGCCCGTCCTCGCCGCGCCCGCTCTCCCGCCCTGCGCGCACGCCCTCCCCGTCTCCCCCCCTCCACTCCCGACAAGAGTGAGGCCTCCTAGACGGGGTCCGAGTTGTTGGGGTCAAAAGATCGCATCGCATCGCCAATGCATCGGCGATGTATCGGCGATGCATCGGCGATGCATCGGCGACGTCGGCGACGTCGGCGTGGGGAAACACGGTCTCCACATCGAGCCGCATCGCCGATGCATCGGCGATGCGGCGGGATCCTCCGACCCCATCTACTCGGACCCCATCTAGGAGGCCTAGACAAGAGTGAGGGGGCGGCGGAGACGTCTGCACTCTGCGAGGCTGGGAAGAAGCCCGCCGCAGGCGCCGAATTTTGGCACATCATACAACGAGCCCGCCGCAGGCGCCGATTCTGCGTTGAAGCAGTGCGGGTGGGTCGCGGGGTGGGTCGCCGATGGGTCGCGGACCGGGTCGCGGACCGGGTCGCGGACCGGGTGGCGGGTGGATCGCGGATGGCTCGGCGGACGGGTCGCGGGGTGGGTCGCGGCCGGGTCGCGGGGGGGACGACGTCAAACAGCAACAAACAACAAACAACAAACAAGAGCAGCAACAATTTCAACAGCAACAGCAACAACAGCAGCAACAACAGCAGCAACAACACAAACAATAACAACAACCACAACCACAACCATAACCACAACAACAGCAACAACAACAATCAGTTAAATACTGATCGCCCTTATCTGCCCGCGTGCCATTCAACACGTATATCCCAAACGCTCGATACCTGGTACCCGCCCCCTTCGTCTTCGATCGTGTCCCCATTGGGGGTATCTTTTTCTTACATGCAACATGTATTTCGTGCAGCCCCTAAGACAAGAGAAGAGAGGACATATGGAAGGAAGGGGCAAGGGGAAAGGAGGATGATGGAGCACGAGAGAGACTAGCACAAGGTGGGCTAGGAACAGACAACAAGTGGCAGAACCAGACAGGCTGATCTGGCTGATAGGCCCTAACGGGCGGGGCAGCAACCCGCTTGTTCGACCTGGCGGTCGAGCAAGCGGGTTGCTGAAGCGTGCGTCTTGCATAAATCGCGAGGAGGTCGAGAGACAGAGCGATCTGCAACGGGGCCACGAAGTGCACCGAGGGGGCCACGACGGAACGGGGCCACGAAGGGCAGCCAGGGGGCAACGACGGGCTGCAACGGGGCCACGAAGGGCAGCGAGGGGGCCACGAAGGGCTGCAACGGGGCCACGGAAGGGCACCGAGGGGGCCACGAAGTGCTGCAACGGGGCCACGAAGGGTTGCGAAGGGGCCCCGAAGGGCTGCAACGGGGCCACAAAGGGCAGCGGGGGGGCCACGAAGTGCGGCAACGGGGCCACGGAGGGCACCGAGAGGGCCACGAAGTGCGGCAACGGGGCCACGAAGTACACCGAGAGGGGCCACGAAGTGCTGCAACGGGGCCACGAGGTGCAGCGAGGGGGCCGCGACGTGCTGCAACGGGGCCACGAAGGGTCGCGAAGGGGCCCCGAAGGGCTGCAACGGGGCCACGAAGGGCAGCGGGGGGGCCACGAAGGGCTGCACGGGGCCACGAAGGGCAGCGAGGGGCTACGAAAGGCTGCAACGGGGCCACGAAGGGCAGCGAGATCCGGATTACTAACTAAGCTGCGAGGGAATCCGAGGCGTGAGCGCGACTCCTGGGCGCCCAAATGTCGGGAGCGCGGCGCTTTCGTGAATTGCGGCGAGTTCCATCGCAAGAGAGCGCGATCTCCAGCGAGAGCGCGACTCCAGAGCTCCGAGAGAGCGATTCTGGTATAAGTTGTAAGGAAGTCCGACGGTAGAGCGCGATTGCTGAATAGATGAATGCGAGGAATTCTCAGGCGGGAGCGGGGGTCCTGGCTAAATTGTGAGGAAGCCTCAGGCGGGAGCCGTTGCTGCTGCAGCCCGGGAACCAGGGGCACGACATGACCCTCGTGACGTTCCCTGGTAAAAAAAACAGGGTACGAGCCGCGGGAGAAGAACTTCAATTGACAATCTCGGGTCGGGCGAAAGGGGGGGATAGCAAAGGGGGGGTTTGAGAATCAGCTCACGTAGCTGATTTTCCCGGCGCCTCCCGCCGCCGGAGGCGGCTATGTATCGAGGAATGGGCACCTCGGTGAGGCCGAAACCAGCTGCATGCAGCAAATTTCGTAACCCCCCCTTTCCCAATCCCCCCCTTTCGTCCGGCCCGACAATCGCAATGGTCACCGAAGGGGGGGTCAACAATATTTTTTCTTCCATCGTGAAAACTCAACAACAACAACCGCAACAACAACAACAACAACAACAACAACAACAATCATTTAAGACTGGGGACACTCCGTTCTCACCAGTGCCAGCGTTTTCATAGGAGGCGGGTGGGGGGGCCGGTTCAAGCTCTACCAAGTTTCCAAACGACTCTTCGCCACCACCCACACCCAGCTTCCCGCCCTATGACGTTCGGACACTTCACTTCGTGGCCTGCGGACGACCTTGGCTACTACACTGGCGCATGGGTACAATGACTTGTTGTGGTAACATTTTGTGGAAGCTAGCTTAGTATACGACTTTTCCCCCTGCAATTGAAGATTTCGGCGTGCGCGCGCGAAGAAAAAACGAATGTGTCCCATATGGTATTATTTGACAGGGATGATGGCCCTGGCAGGCGCGCAACCTTTGTTGCAGAAGTTCGAAGCACGTGAAAAAGTTGCTCGCAAGAGCCCGTTTGACAGAAATGTTGAAAAAGTATTGGGTTTCCTAAGAAATCCGCAAGAGCGCGCGGGGTGAATTTTTGAAACCCTTTTTTTGAAAAACCATTGGGTTTTTCATGTTTTTATGTGAAAATCGCTACGAAGACTAAGGTTTTGGAAGGATTTCGTCTTGCGCGCGCGAATGTGCACTTCGTGTCATTTTTTGCAAGGGATTCTTGAAGTTTGGTCATGTTAGAACAAGAAATGTCCACTTTGCCTTTTTTTGCAAGGGAAAACCGATCGTAACAACAC